ACCACTCCAGTCCATCAGTTAATGTCTTGAGAAGTGAAAAGCTGCCTGTTTGGGATAAACAGCTCCATCATTGAGAAGTTTTTAGCTTCACACCATTGTTTCCTGTTAAAATGTAGGGCCCTATGAAATCCGTTTTATTTTTTCCCAAATTTAATTAAATTTTTTTCCAAATTCAGTTTTTTCCTATTTAATTTTCTAGACTCTGTTTTAATGGTTAAATAAAATTTTATTAATCAGAAAGCATGTCTAATTAATTGAAATCATGAAACTTACTCAATTTAACAGCAATTTATTAAAAGTTTAACAAAAATATAATTAAGGCCCTATGAAATCAGTTGAATTTTTTTCTGAAATTCAGTTTTATTTTTTTTACCAAATTCTGTTTTCTATTAATTTTTTGGATTCCATTTGAATGGTTTCATTATATTTTAATAATCGAAAGCATCTGTAAATAATTGATTTTATAAAAAATAAACTACTTTATTATTATTTTGTTTATTTCTTTTTATCAGAAATACTGTGTTTACATTTTTCTGGTAAATAATTTTTCTGGTAAATATGCTTCGAAAATAATGTTGTAATAATTGTATTATTAGTATGAGTACTATCATTACATTCAGTAAAATATTTCTGTCACAGTTTCTTCAAGTTAATCTTGACACCGACACTAGTCCATATTGCATTTTGATTTAAGTGTACTGACCTACTTTTGATTTATTCATCCAAAATTTGTCAAATTCCGTAATATTGCTTCCTCCAGTGAAAATGTTCTCTTGTCTGAACAATCAAATACTCACAAATCAAGTACCGTTTACAAGTGAAAACAGTTCTAAACAAATATGTCAGTGAATTTAGATGTGAGAGGACAATAGAGGATGGACATATTTATGCAATATTATGGATTATGGACTCATTTTAGTCAGAAGCAACTGTTTGAAGTTAAAAACGTCTCGATGGATTTGTTTCTTACAAACATGCAACATTTTGCTTCATAAGATGTTCATTGATGGACTGGAGTTGTGTGGATTACTTGTGGATAATTTTGATGTTTTTATCAGCGGCACCCATTCACTGCAGAGGATCCATTGTAATGCTAATGTGATGATAAATTTCTCCAAATCTTTTCCCATGAAGAAACAAACTCATCTACGTCTTGGATGGTCCAAAGGTGGGTACATTTTCACTTTTTGGTGAACTATTACTTTAAGAAAGCTAGTCAACCCTCAGGTCTAGATGTTTTCCTAAAGAAGGCCAAATTTTATTGCATATTTTTGTTTAGTATTACACTCCAGTATTGTTTGTGTGACATATTTGAAAATCATGAGGAATGAGTGTTTTGTAAGTGATCAGAGTTTAGATTTTCATCTGGTGGATAACAAAACAGGCAAAAAAACATCTCATAAATTTACACTGAAGGTCACAGGGTGAATTTGTTTGGACTTGGGCCAATTAGAAACCATCTGCCCATCTAACAACAACCACTCAGAACCCTTCCAGCAAGATGCTAAAAACCAATCAGAATGCCTTAGTGGCTGCATAGCAACGCCCTGGCAACCACTCAGAACGCTCTGGGATCTTGGCAGCAGGCCAACACCACTCCCATTCACTTCAGAAAATGCAAAATTCTGCTTTAATTCAACAGTACTTCAATACTAACTTGATAAGATTGCAGTTGTTTTTATTTAGCATTTTTTTATAACTGTGCTCTCATTATAACGTTACATATATGACAGTAGTTAATCTGCATTTCTGTTTTGAGCTGCGTGCGCTGAAGATGACCAATAGAATTAAGTATTTGATAGCAGGTTTTTAATCAATGGGATTTAACTCATCAATTATCTTTTTTAGAATACGCTTCGTTTTTTTATACAACAAAACGTTAATATTACGACTTATAGGCTATCTGCGCGGCTCTGAATTAACTCCTTTTGTGGACGCGTTCTTTACGCAACAACGTGCAGAAACACAGCAACTAAACTCTAAAAATTCACAGCGTTTTATTGTAATAGTGTTCTCATTATAATGTTATGTACATGACAGTCCCAGTTATAGTTATTAAATGGGTGGTTGAATGTTTTTTTTCTAGGCTTGATTGTGTTTATGGGGTGCAGTCTAACATGTGTTAATGCTTAGTTAAAAAAAACGCATTTGTTTTCACATAATTGACCTTTATTCCACAACGCTCTGTGCCTTCTCTGATAAATGCGCTGATCATTTCGTGCTTTTATGAAGCCCCTCCCTCAGAAATAGGCGATGGGCTCTGATTGGTTAGGTAGCCCAGTGTGTTGTGATTGGCTAAACCGCCTCTAGATCCGATTGTATTGTAAACAACGGCGTCGTTAATATCGCTTATCAGTTTGAACCCGATTGAGAAGCAGAGGATATTATTGAAGAGGATCGTG